CGTCGTCCTCCTCCTCCTCCTCCTCCCCGTCGTCGTCGTCGTCGTCGTCCTCCAGGGGAAAGACCGAAAAAGAGGAAAACATGAAAAATAATGAAAAAACTGTGTTTTCACAAGGAAAAAAAGAAAAAAACTCTGCCTCCGAAAGCGGGAGGAGGAAAAAAAAAAAAGAAAAAAAAGTTCCGCCAGCGGAAGAGGAGGAACACAAGGGAGGGAGGAGGGGGAGGAGAAGGAGGAGGAAAAGCGGCAGAGCAGGGGAGCGTGGAGGAGAGGAGGGAAGTTTTTTTTTCAATCGCTTCGGCGAGTTCGAGAACGAACGAAGCAGCTGCAGGGCGCGGCTCTGGCCGACGGCCCTGGCAAGGAACGGGCAGGCGCGCCTTATCCCCTGGCGCGCTGACGCGCTTGAGCCCAGACAGACACGGAGGGTGGCAAAGGCGTGCTTTTGCAAGGATGTATTTTTTCATCAACTACGGCTGCTTTATTTAGTTCGTGGGTGTTATTTGGGTCGTTAGTATGATGTTGCTGCGTTCTGTCGCTGTTCTGTCGGCTGTTTCCGTTATTGTCTCAGTGGTGGTGTTTCTGATGACCGATTATCGGCGTCGTGATCGTTGCTGTGTTGCTTCCTGTGTGCCGCCGTTTGTGTGCTATTGTGGTGTTGCGTCGTTGTTCCCGTTGGCTGGCTGCGCCTTGAGTCTCAAACGGCGACTGGGGGGAGGGAGGAGGAGAGAGAGGGAGAAACAGGAAACGCTTTGATCCCAACGGCCCTGGATTAATCCAGCGGGGGGAGGAGCTGTTCCAAACTATAACAACATCTATATTCCTTGATATATTTTGCTGTTCCTAGCTATTGCTACATCTTCCGAGCTCTTCTCAAGAGCTCCTTCCTATTTGGTTTTGCGCCTCCGGACCCCTTTTTCGTGACCACCGCGTTCGTTTCTAGGCAGAAGAATCTCAGCTTTGATCCCAACGGCCCTGGATTAATCCAGCGGGGGGAGGAGCTGTTCCAAACTATAACAACATCTATGTTCCTTGATATGTTTTGCTGTTACTAGCTATTGCTACATCTTCCGAGCTCTTCTCAAGAGCTCCTTCCTATTTAGTTTTGCGCCTCCGGACCCCTTTTTCGTGACCACCGCGTTCGTTTCTAGGCAGAATCAATCTCACTCGGAATCCGAGCTGTCTGCCCAATGCTGGGGCATGCGCTCGATATACCTCTTGAGGTCCTCGTTCTCCTTGGTGGGGCGGCAGCACTCTGCCTCGTGCATCTTGAGCTCCTTGTTCTCCTTGGTGAGGCGGCAGCACTCTGCCTCGGCATCCGCGCACCTGGCGAACAGTTCCTCGAACTCGCCCATCGGGACCCCACCCTCCGCGTAGTTCTCGTGCTCCGAGCCGCCCTCGCCCTTTGAGCTGTCCTCCGAGCCCTTGCCCTCGCCCTCGGTGTCCTCCGAGCCCTTGTCCTCGGCCCCCTCGGTGTCCTCCGAGCCCTTGTCCTCGTCCTCCGAGGTGTTCTCAGAGTCGCTGTCCTTGTCCTTCGAGCTCTCCTCGCCCTCCTCCTCCTCGTCCTCGCCCTCGTCCTTCTTCGAGCCGTCGTTCTCGCCACCCTCACTGTCGCCCTTGCCGCCCTCGTCGTCGCCCTCGCCGCCCTCGTCGCCCGCGACGCCGTCCATGAGTGCCAGGGCGGGGGGCGCCTCACGTGCAGGGGGGCCGTCAGGGACCTTTCCCTTTTGCCTGCGCTTGTTGAGCCAGGCGACGAGCTTGTTCTGGGCTGCTTCACTCCATTGGCCTTCCTGGCGGCGCTGCATTCCGCAAGACGCCTGTATGTAATTCATCTGGTTGTTCACCTCCTTCAGTAAGAGGTCGGTCTTCGACGGGTGCACGGTCAAGCGCCCTGCGTTCACGTCACCAATAACATCCACAGCGCGCGGGCGGACGCGGTCCGCGATCGGCACGGGGGCAACGGGCGGCCCCGAAGGGGCAGCCGGCTCCAAGAGGCGGATGATGTCAGCAGCTGCCGAGCCCGAGAGTTCTGACGGATTGCCAACGCTCAAATCCAGGCGCGCCCGTTTACCATCACGGGTCAACACAACACGACCAGATACCGCAATCGAGGTGTTCATACCTGCTGTAAGACTTCGACACAAATCTTCGGATCAGCCCGCGCGGGGGCAACTTGAGCCGATGATGGCTACGGACAGGGTGGGGCGAGTAGGAGGAGGGGGGGGGAGAAGTTGAAGGCGGAGGAGGAGTAGGAAAAGGGGAATCGCCTGGAGCCATGAGGAAATCCGCGGCCCCAGAGGTCCACACCCTTTTCCTTGGGATGGTTTTTCGCTCTGGGTCGTTTTTGATGGTTCTGGCCCCGTAAACGGTCCCTGGACGCCGAAACGGATTGGCGGAAGGGCATCGAGTGTGCTTCCCCTCTCTAGGAGGAGGGAAGGGAGGAGGGAGGAAGGAGAGGTGGATTAAACCGCCGAGCCCTGGATTAATCCAGGAAGTACAGAAACAGAAAGATAGGACAGGGATGAGAACGAGGAGGAGGAGGAGGAAGACCAGAGAGATATGAATAGAGCAAAAGGAGGAGAAAGTATGAGGGGAGAGGATGGGGGGGGAAAGGAGGAGGATGAGAAAGAGGAGGAGGACGAAGAGAGGAAAGCAGAACAGAGCACGGAAAATAGGGATCTTGGGGGGGGGTGAGCATATATATATATATATATATATATATATGTACACATGTACTATGCATTCATAGACGCATGTGTGTGCGCATGTACGCACGCTCGCATTCCGCTAGCGTGCGAATTCCAAAAGACCAAGGTGCATGGCGCGCAGCGCCAGTGCAGTCTTGTATATATATATATATATATATGTGTGTATGATGTTATTCTTGTGTGCTGCCGGATGGCACAGAAAATGTGTGCTGCCCGCGTGCCCGCCCGACGGATAGGGGAGGGGGAGGAGGAGGAGGAGGAGGAGGAGGAGGAGGAGGAGGAGGAGGAGGAGGAGGAGGAGCAGGATCAGGAGGAGGAGCAGGAGGAGGAGGAGGAGGAGGAGGAGGAGGAGGAGTTTCTCCTCCTCGCGGCCCCCGTGCCCGCAGGTCGTGCCCGCGTCTTCTCCAAGGCCTGCGAGAAGGATGCGTGCCGCCCGCGCGGCGCGGTGCCCGCGCGCCGTGCGCGTGGGCCGGGTGCCCCGCGCGGCCCGGTGGCCGTGCACAGCCCTCGCTGGCGCCGAGGGCGCCGAGGGCGACGGCGATGGCGCGCGCGCGGCGGCGCGGCACGCGCCGCGTGTGGCCTCTCGTGCAGCCTCGGTGCCCAGACCTCCTCGAGTCATGAAAAAAATCAGGGCGGCAGGTTTTCGCGATGTTCGGCCTCTGAGGGCCTCGGGACCGTCACAAAAAACGACTCGGGATGAAAAACCGGTCCCGGGGAATGGGTCTGGACCTCTGAGGGGGAGAGTGGGGTTCACTTCGCTGGGGAGCTCCCGAGCGAAGTGAGCCCCCCCCTCCCCCTCCGAAATCGTGGGGGGTAGGGGTGGGGTTCGCATGTGGCCCCCCACTCTCGTGCAGCCTCGGTACCGCGAGCCTCTCGGCGACGCGGTGGCCCCCTCGGCCCCGGCGCGGTGCCGGCAGTAGACAGGAGAGGCGACGTCGGCCTCAAACGTCGCCAGCCGCATCTCGCGGAGGAGGAGCAGCGCCCGCTGCCACTGCGCTCCCGCCTCGCACGCGCGCATCACAGAGTTGCAGCTGATGGTGGTAAGACCCACCCTCGCCTCCAGCATCTCACTGAAGAGCGCCAGAGCCCGCTGCCACTGGCCGCGCTTCTGGCACGCGCTCACCGCGGTGTTGCAGCTGACCAAGGCGAAGCAACCGACAAAGACCATGGCAAGCCCATGCGGGCCCGTCAAAAAGAAGACACCGAGAAGAAGAGGAGTAGGAGGAAGAACGATCTTGGAGCCTTCCTTCGGGGCCTCTGAGGGCGTACTTGGGCACATCACCTTGGCCGTGTTGGGCCTCTTGGGGGGCGACTTGGACCGCCCTCCGGAACCTTCTAGATGCCTGGATTGGCCCCACGGAGACTCTCGATACTCTTGATGAGAGGCCGCGCGGGTCCACGGCAAAACGGCTGCGGCGGAGATCTACCGGGGCCCTCTGGAGCAAGCGGTCTTGGAAGCTCTGGACAGCCTGGCAGCCTCCGGAGGCCGCGACTGGCCCTGAGGGGGACCCGTCCGGAGCTCCTCTGGGCCCTGTCGTGGCCGTCAGAGGGGGCCCACGAGTGGGCGTGGCCCCCCAGCAGACCCTCGGGGAGTATGCTACACCGTGGAATCGCGACAATTGCTGCCTTCGCTTCTGGCCTTCCTCTCGCACGCGCCGGGCCCTGCACTGTAGCACCGGTTGCGCCACCTCGCTGCAATCGGGCCGCGAAGCTGCCTAGCCAACGACTGTACCAGCTTCTTATGTCCACCATGCTGGCACATGCTGGCTACAACTCCACTGACGGAAAAGTCTGGACACTATTTCATCTAGCGCATTCCTCTAGCAACCACAAAGCCCGCTGGCACTGCTGGAACGCCACGCGCTGACCGCAGCGTTATAGCTGACTGGCGTCAGGCGCCCGTGAACTGACTGGCGTGGTTGGCCGTCTTGGAGGCGGGGTCGTCTGGGACTGGCTTGTGGCTCTTCCAGGCCGTCTTCGAGCGCTCTGGAAGCTTCTTTGGCCTTGGTAGCGCTTCCGACACCAACGGGCTCGAAACAAGAGGAACCTGAAATTGTCCAGACGCCGCCCGTTTGTTCTACGGATTTGGCCATCTGGGGGCCACACTTCGAGTGGTTCGAGCGTCAGGAAGAGCTTATTGAGACGCCCGAAAGGATCTCAAGTGACTTTCTCAGGCTGTCTGGGGCGCTCTGGAAACCACACTGGGCCATCTGGAAGCTCTCGCGGGACTCTGGGCCATCTGGGGCCCGTCTGGAGCTGTCAGGGCTTACCGCTTGGGGCCCGTCAGGGGCCGAAAGTGCCTTCCACCCTTCCACAGGAAGTCGCAGTCGCTCGAGCGCGCTGAGGCGAGCATTGCAGCATGGATGGTGTTGGGCTCCAGCTCTGCCTCCCGCATCTCGCTGAACAGCGCAAGAACCTCCCGCCAAAGCCGAACTTTCTCGCAGGCGCGCATGGCAGCGTTGTAGCTGATGAGGCTGGGCTCCAATTTCGCCTCCCGCATCTCGCTGAGCAACAACAGAGCCTGGTCCCACCGCCCGCCTTTCTCACATGCGCTGATCCCGGCGCTGTAGCTGACTAGGGCTGGCCCGTGGCCGACTGGCCACAAAATCTGTCTGGGACTGCACGCTGGACCAGGGCAGAGATGCTGCCGAAAGTCTTTCGTGATTCCGTTGGGCCCGAACTTCGCGTGTGCTGTTGCTGCCTGCAGACGAAGGGTGCTGCTGTCTGCGACACGCTTCTGCTGCTGCTTGATTTTCTGCTGTGCTGCCGTTGCCTGCCGCGGACTGCTGGTGTTCGCCGTTGCTGCTTGGGGTTGCGAAGCACCGCTTCTTGGCCTTCCTTGCTAGATGCCGCAGCCTGCAGCTCGTGAGTGGAGAGAGGAGCAAGGAGCAGGGAGCGAGGAGTCAGGGTCGAGGAGGGAGATGGGGGAAGCGAGGGTCAAGTCTGCGAGGAGCCCGGATCGAGAAGGGAGGAGCGACGGCCCAGGAGAGAGAGAGTGAGGGAGAGAGAGAGAGAGCCGAAGAGGAGGAGGAGGACAGACGCCAGCAGCCAGGAGGGAGAAGCGAGGGGCCAGGAGAGGTGTGGAAGGAGCGAGGAGGAGGGAGAAGCAAGAAGGAGCGAGGAGAGGGAGGCGAGGGGCGCGGAGAGAGCGGGGAGGAGCGAGGAGCAGGGAGCGAGAAGGAGGGTATGCGAAGAGGCCAGCGCACGCGTGTGATCGTCGGGGCCTCCTGGGCCGGCCGTCCTGGAGCGCTGGCAGCCCGAGAAGGCGAGACCGCCCAAATCCGTGAAACGAGCCGAAGAGAAGTCAGAGATGTTGGGAGGAGGAGGAGGAGGAGGAGGAGGAGGAGGAGGAGGAGGAGGAGGAGGAGGAGGAGGAGGAGCCTTCTTGGGGGCCCTCTTGGGTGCCCTCTTGGAGCCCTCTTGGGCCGTCTTGGGGCCCCGTGGGGCGGCCCGAGGGCCACGTTGGCAACCTCGTGGGCCGTCTGGAGGTGTCTCGGGCTATTTTGGGGCCGTCTGGGGGCCGTCTAGGGGCCGTCCGGAGGCGCCTCGGGGCTCCCAGGAGCGCGCCAGGGCTGGCCAGGACGAAGTTGGTACTTTTGGGTCCGCACCCTTCTGGCACGCGCTTCTCCCAGCCATGCAGGAGAGGCCAGGGTTGACCTGTGGACTACACCCCCCTTGCTGGGGGAACAGGTGGTGCTGCCAGGCGCACCCGATAAAAGGTGGGCCCCGTGCTCGTTTTCCATATATCGATGAACAGCGGGAGCACCAAATTGCACTGCTCGTTCCGTTGTCGCTGTCTGCCGCCGCCGACGCCGCAGCTGGCGCTGCCGTTGCCGCGTCTGCCGCCATCCCCTTCGCCGCCGCCGCGCCGTGAGCCGCCAGCCTCGGGCGCCTGCGAGGGAACGGGACGGCGTTGCTGCTGGTGCTGCCAGCGGTCGCGCGCGCCGTGTCCACAAGAAGCCCTGGGTCGACGCTCGCCGCTTCACAAGCAAAAAAAACGCGCGAGATGGACTGTCGGAGGATCGGAACCCACGCGCAGAGAATCGCACGCCCCGCGCCGCGCTCTCGGCCTCCGCCCCGACGCTCGCCGCTGCCCGAGGTCGGAGCGCGGGGGGCGGCAGGCTCAAAACTCTGCCCGCGCCCAGGGAGGCCGAGGCCGCAGCGCCCGCGCCCGCGGGGGCCGCGGGCACGCGGCTCGACGCGCTCCGCTCCGCTGCTGCAGCGCGGAGGCCGCAGCGCCCGAGCCCCCGGGGGCCGCGGGCGAGACTTGGCACGCGCCCCCCTCGCGCGAACCCTCGTCCTCGCCTCCCGGGAGAGGCCTCCTCCTCCTCCTCCTCCTCCTCCTCCTCCTCCTCCTCCTCCTCCTCCTCCTCCTCCTCCTCCTCCTCCCTCCTCCTCCTCCTCCCTCCTCCTCCTCCTCCTCCTCCTCCTCCTCCTCCTCCACCTCCTCCTCCTCCTCCTCCCTCCTCCTCCTCCTCCTCCTCCTCCTCCTCTCCTCCTCCTCCTCCTCCTCCTCCTCCTCTGGGCGAGATCCATGGCCTCGGCCTCCCGGGGCGCCCTTGGTCGTGCTCCCCGGGGCGTCGCTGGGTGCTCCGGGAGGGCCTGCGGGTGGCCTCCGGGCGGCCCGCGGGCGCTCTCGGGCGGCCGGAAGCGCTCGCCGGCCGTATCGGAGGGGTCTGGGAATGGGCATGGGGATTGCGGGCACCATTTACCACAGCACCCTCGTGTGAAGTGTCGTCCGCACCTCGCCGAAGGCTCGGGAACTGCCCCGCGACGCTCTGGGATCCGTTGGTTCCCAGGCCCCTTCCCCACGCACGTGTGCCTGCAGTGTAAGTGAGGCTACAAGCCTCGTGAAGCATAAACTAGTGGTTACTGTGTTCGGTGCTTGTGTGGCCAGCGCTACTTCAATGCCGTCATGGAATATTTGGCCCAGACGCAGCGGTGCCCGAGATCCCGCAATATCCTCACGGCATTGAAGAACGCGTTTTCGAAGCAGTGTCCAAACTTCGAGCGCTTCGATTTGAACAACGCGTCAACTTATCTTCGACGAGGCTTGTAGGGCTCGCCGGTCGGCTGCCCACATGAACGGGTGAGGATCGATTGCCTGCTTGACTGATCGCCTGATGTCCCCCTTGAGTGGTTGCGAGCATGATGGCCTGACGGCTTGCGGAATGCTCGCCTATGTTCTTTCGTGCTTGCTTCATGACATGCTCGATCGCCCGCTGCCGCTTGCTGACGCATGGGACCGCTTGCTGCTGCGCTCATGCTGCTGTTTGCTACTGTTTCGCCGCAAGTGACTACTTTGCTAGTGCGTGCTGCTGTTTGCCGCGGCCGTGGTGCTACTGCTGCGTACTGCTGAATAGTGCTGGTTGATGCTGCGTGCCTACTGCTGCGTGCCTGCAGTCAGCGCCTGCCGCTGCCCATGTGTTTAGGGCATTTGCGCTCGTTGGTTCTGCTTGCTGTATACTGCGATGATGCCTGATGCAAGCTGCTGATGCTTGCTGCCGCTGCGTGTCGCTGCTTGCTGTCGATGCGTGATGCTTGCTACTTGCTACTCCAGGGTGCTGGTCGTGTTCGTTCTGCGTGCCGCCGCAACCTGCTGCTGGTGATCCCTGTTGCTGCCTGCTGCGTGATGCTGCGTGCTGTCTACCGCGTGCTACTGCTGCGTGCTCATGCCGCGTGCTTTTGCTGCCCTCTGCAGCTTGATAGTTTTGCATGGCGGTGCTAAGTCGGGCATGTCCCCCTACAGGGGGATCTTGGACGAAACATATAAAATACAAAAAAATATGTTTAAAACATACTCGAGCATCGTCAAACAATCGTCCCCATACTATTTTTCTTCGAATTTGTTGAATATTCCTCCTGTAGAGGGACACGACCTTTGTGGGCCCCGGAAACGGCAGGGCCGTTTTTTGCACCGTTTCCAAAAAAAAGCCCCTTGGAAATGGAAACGGCAAAAAAACGGCGACCAGAAACGGCAACAAAACGGTTCCAGGACTGGAACCGGAGCCGGAACCGGTCAAAAAACGGCGACGGAACCGGTAAAAAAACGGCGTCGGAACCGGCAAGAAAACGGCAAAACGGAACCGGTAACAAAACGGCCCTGTCGTTTCCAGGGCCCTCTAAGGACACGGCCGACTTAACGATAGTCTTGCATGCTGGTGCTGCCCGCCGCTTGCTGCTGCTCCTCCGGGACCCGTGCGCGGAGGAGGAGGAGGAGGAGGAGGAGGAGGAGGAGGTGGAGGGGGAGGGGGAGGGGGAGGAGGAGGAGGGGAGGAGGAGGGGGAGGAGGAGGAGGAGGAGGAGGAGAGGAGGAGGAGGAGGGCTCGTGTGGACGGTGCTGGCGGCGTCTCTCGGGGCCCTGCTGGGCCGCCTGCGCGCCCGCCGCAGGGCGCCGTGGGCAAAGGGGGGTCTCTCCTCTTCCCAGACCTCCCAGTCCTCTTCCCAGACCTCCTCGAGTCCTCCTCTTCCCAGACCTCCTCTTCTGGGCAAAGGGGGGTCTCTCCTCCCCATCACGACGGGAGGTTTTTCCCTATTTTCGGCCTCCGGGGGCCCTCACCGGGCCTCGGGAGCGTCAAAAAACGACTCGGGATGAAAAACCGGACCCGGGGAATGGGTCTGGACCTCTGGGGGTCGACGTAATGAAAAAATCATTACGTCGGGGGTCTGGGCTCTTTGTGGGCCCCGGAAACGGCAGGGCCGCTTTTTCACCGTTTCCAGAAAAAAAAACCCTTGAAGATGGAAACGGCAAAAAAACGGCGGCCGGAAACGGCAAAAGAACGGCTCCAGGACTGGACCCGGAGCCGGAACCCGTCAAAAAACGGCGACGGAACCGGTAAAAAAACGGCGTCGGAACCGGCAAAAAAACGGCAAAAGGGAACCGGTAAAAAAACGGCCCTGTCGTTTCCAGGGCCCACTAAGCCTCTCCTGCCCTGGAAGCATCAGGGGGCCTGCTTCTAGAGCAGGCCCCCACAACCCAAAACCGAGAATGCACTACGGCACCTAACGTATTTCTAGGGGTCGTGATGTCACTGGGATGTGGTGTGGCTGACGCGCTGGCGCGTGTTCACTAGATCTAACGTACATTACTATGGCCGCAAGCTGTGCCCTGAGATCCTGGCGCTGCACTTTCGTTGCTGCACCGGGCGCTTTCGCTCGAGTTCGGGCCCGGGGGCCCTCCCAGATCGATCGGGCTCGAAACGTGGCGCAGAGAGGCGAGGCCCGGGGCTCCGGACGTGCTTGTTGCGACGTCGCCCTTTTTTTTGCGGCGTCGGATCTCAGGGTAGGCTGTCTTGGGGCCCTCCGGGGAATCTCCCTGGGCATCCTCGGGGCCCTCCTGGGCTGCCTCGGCGGATTCGCTTTGGGGGGCTCTGGGGGCTCGCTTGTTGGGGCGGTGTCCCCGGAAGCTTCTTTCGAGCACTCTGGGGGCCCGGGCCGAAGAGCCTGGGACGCAAGACCACGCGGATGTTCAGGGAGCCTCCTCCTGCTCCTCCTCCTCCTCCTCCTCCTCCTCCTCCTCCTCCTCGTCCTCCTCAATATGTCCTCCTACTCCTCCTCCTCCTCCTCCTCCTCCTCCTCCTCCTCCTCCTCCTCCTCTCCTCCTCCTCCTCCTCCTCCTCCTCCTCCTCCTCCTCCCTCCTCCTCCTCCTCCTCCATATCCTCCTCCTCCTCCTCCTCTCCTTCCTCCTCCTCCTCCTCCTCCTCTCCCTCCTCCTCCTCCTCATCCTCTCCTCCTCCTCCATATCTCCCTCCTCTCCTCCTCCTCCTCCTCCTCCCTCCTCCTCCTCCTCCTCCTCCTCCTCCTCCATCCATATCTCCCTCCTCTCCTCCTCCTCCTCCTCCTCCTCCTCCTCCTCCTCCTCCTCCTCCTCCTCCTCCTCCTTCTGGGACGCAAAGCTCATGGGAGCCTGGGCCGAAGGGCCGAAGAGGACTTTCAGAGGACGTGGCCGTCTGGAGCACGTCGTGGCGCCCCTGCGGGGGGGGGTCCGGCGACGGCGGAGCAGGGGAGGGCCGAGCCTGCAGCAGGCGCAGCAAGCCCGTGCGTCGACGGGCAGACGCGCCGAGTCCTGGGGAGCGCTGGCGCGCCTGCGCGGCCCTGCTGCCTGGGAGCTGCCCACGGAGCTACACGTCGTTCACTTCTGATCGTGCTCGTTCCTAAAGTGTGCTCGTTTCGAACTGTTCCTGGCCCCCCAGTGGCCAGGAAGAGGCCCAGGATAGAACAACTAGACATGAGAGGATCTTGGCCGCCCCAAAGATCGAAGAACGGTCGAAACAGTAAAATGAACAATGTGTAGCTGCGCACATGCCCACGGAGCTGCCCACGGAGCCAGCTTTAGGTCGGGCCTGTCCCCCTACAGGGGGATCTTGAACGAAAAACAAGAAATCGTCAGAACGTATCCAGAACATGCCACAACATAGGCGAAAGACCCTCCCCATCTGATCTTTTAACTATTTCTGAAATTTCCTCCTGTGGACGGACAGGAACGATTTAAAGCTAGCTGCGCGCATGCCTGGGAAGCGCTGCCTGGGATCTGTGAAGACGCCTACGGCCCACGCCTTGGGAACGGCGCCTCTCTTGCAGGCCTGCGGTGCGCCCCGCAGGGCCCCTGCAGGGAGGAAGAGGAGGAAGAGGCGGAGGAGGAGGAGGAGGAGGAGGAGGAGGAGGAGGAGGGAGAGGAGGAGGAGGGAGAGGAGGAGGGAGAGGAGGAGGAGGGAGAGGAGGAGGAGGAGGAGGAGGAAGAGGAGGAGGAGGGGGAGGAGGGGGAGGGGGAGAGGGAGGGGGGAGGATCGTCGTGGGGCCCTCTCGGGGGGCCTCTGGGGATCTTCTGGCTGAAGCTCTCACTTCTAAGGGGGCACAGTGCGGCTCCAGAAGGGATCGGGCAGACTTGGTCTGCGAATGGCTCATGGCTGGCATTGCTTGGATTGTCCGAGAAAGCCCCAGGGCGTACGGGGCCGCCTCGGGGCCGTCTTCGGGCACCTCTGGGGCCGCGCTGGGAGCCTCCGGGGCTGGTCCGGTCCCGGCGACCTGGCGGCAGCGTGGGCACGCTGCATCCTGCAAGGCAGAGGAGGTGACGTCGGGCTCCAAGTTCGCCTGCCAGACATCCGCGAGCAACACCAAGGCCTGCTGCCAATGCCCGCACTTCTCGCATGCGCTGATGACTGCGCTGTAGCTGATGGCGGGTCCGCAGGCGGCGTGACCATCCAAATCACCCCTGCTTGCATGGGTGAGAAGCGCTTGTGTGTTCCCATGCTTCTTCACTTCTGCTTGCGAGGCTGCCGGCCTGGTGGCCTGACAACATGCGGTCTGATCGCCTGCTTCTGTGCTGCTGAATGCATCGCTTGCTCGCCCGGTCGCTGCCGCTCGCTGCCGTTTGCTGCTGCACGGTGCTCCTTGCTGCTTTTTCTTGCTGCTCACTGCTGCTTGCTGTGTCGTGCCGCGACTGGTTGGTCTTTGCTGGCGCCTGATGCTGCTTACTCGGGCTTGCCGCTGCTGCATGTTGCCGCTTAGCGATGGCTGATGCCGCTTGACTTCTGCTGCGTGCTGCTGCCTAAAGCCTGCCGCTGCCGCTTGTTGCTGCTGCTGCTGCTGCTGCTGCTGCTGCTGCTACTGCTGCTGCCCGGTGCAGCTGCTTGCTGCTGCTTGAGGTATGCTGATGCAGCCTGCTGCACTGCTGGTGTTGCCTGCTCGACGTACTGACTGGTCGAGGCCGTACTTGCTGTCCGTGCTCGGTGACGTCCGAGACTGCACCCGCCGCGCGCGCTGCCGCGCGCTGTTTCGTGCTGTCGCTCGCTGCTGGTCAGCACGTCAGCACTGCGTGGAGAAACGAGCAGAGATGCATCGGGAGCCGCCTTGAGGCTGGGCGACGCTGGAGCCATCGTGAAGCATGTTGCGACTGTGTTGGGACCTTCTTGGGCTCTCGTGGGGCCCCCTTGGGCTACTAGGCCTCACGTGGCCCTTGGGATCCATCCTAGAGGACAGCCCCGACCATCTTGAGCCATCTTGGGGGCTCTAGAACACTCTTGAGCCCGCTGGGGTGTCGCTGGGGACACTCTGGGGCACTGTGGAAGCCCTCCCCTCTTGTGCTGTTTTGGGGACCGCTTGGGGCCATCTGGGTGCCCTCTTAGGAACTGTGTCGCCTCGAAAGGCCCGCCGAAGTCTCATGAGAAGGATCCTAAGACGCGAACATCACAGAGCACAACAACGATAATTTTGATGCATGGGGGCCGTCGTGGAGGTTCCTGGAGCCACCCTGGGAGCATGTGTCGGGCCTCGGACCAACCGGAAACTGGAATGGGTTCTTTGGGGCGCTTTGGGGGACCTTTGGGGGCCGCTTTGGTACCGTCTGGGGGGTCGGTTGGACATGGTGGTGCCGTCGGTGGACGTGAAGAGGGGGCTACCAAAGTCTGGTCCAGACCGCTTGCAAAGCTCGACCCTGTCGAAACCACTACCTCCGGTATTGTACCATAGATACGGTCAGAAACTGTTGGTTATCGTGCCGCGGCGGCGGCCTCAGCGACACTCTGTGCCCTGCAAGCGTATGGCGGGCCGCGGGAGGTCCCGAACAACGAATGCCGCGCCGAGGCGTGGTGGGCCAGAACCGCCGGCGCGACACGCGAAGCAAAAGTTCCCAAGCGTAGATGACATTGGCTACAACTTCCGCCTGCCACAGCATCTCGCTGAGTAGCGCCAAGGCCTGCTGCCACTGCTTGCCTTTCTCACACGCGCTCATCCCGGCGCTGTAGCTGAAAATAAGGTGAAACCGGTATTGGCAGGCGCACGAAGCCGGCATCCTTGCCATGTTGCTTTCAGTAGCGGAAGGGGGCTGCAACGGGAACGCAAAGGCGGGAGGGCACGCGAAGAGAGTTCTTGCGGTCGGGCTTCCTCGGAATATCAGCCGCCGTCGCGCAGGCAGCAGGCATCCCAGCACGAGGGCCAGCAGACGGAGAGAGGACACACCCCAGCGTTCACGTTCCAGGACACATGCCTTCGCACACCCCAGGGCACGTCGAGCACATCCCAGGGCACGCCTTCCAGCACACGGAGACGTCGGAGCAGCGCGCGGACAGCAGACACCCCAGCACGAGGGCCGCAGTCCAGCAGGCGGAGACAGGACACACCCCAGCGTTCACACTCCAGGACACATGTCTTGGCTCGTCCCAGGGCACGTCCAGCACATTCCAGGCACGCATTCCAGTAATTAGCACATTCCAGGCACTCATTACAGCAGATGGAGACAGGACACGCCCCGGCGTTCACAGTCCAGGACACATCTCTTCGCACATCCCAGGGCACGTCCAACACATTCCAAGCACGGTCGGTCGAAATAATGCAGTGCGAGATCACACCGGCAGGTATAAATGCTCCCCTCTTGTTTGATCGATGTCCTCCAAGATGGCCCCAAGAGCGCTCCGAAGGCTCCCAAAAGCGCTTCAAGAGGGCTCAAGAGGCGCCCAGGAGGCCCCAGGAGGCCCCAACAGGCGCCCAAGAGGCCTCCAAGACGCTCCCAAGAGACCCCCAAGAGGCCCCAAGAAACTCTCCGAGGCACGCAAGACGCTCTAAGAGGAGTCCGGGATCGCTAAGAGGCCCCCGAGACGCTCCAAGAGGCCTCCACTGGGGGACCCTCCCTCTGTGTACTGCCAACTTCCCTGATCGAGGCAATTCATCTGGGCATCGTTTCTGGAGAGGCTGGTGGGATTACGAGAAGCGTCTAGAATTTGGTAGCATTTTCCGAAAATGATGAAAACCATAGTTTTGATCAGAATTCGCAAAAACGCAAGCGCACATTGTTTGAAAATCCGCGTTGCGAAACCCTGTGTGTTTTACATGCTGTTTGGACGTTCGATTTAAATATCCGTACGAAACCAAAGGTGTTTGAAGGATTTCGGCATGCGCGCGCGACGACGCGCAACTGTCCACTTCGTCTCATCTGTTGCAAAGGGTTTTTGAAAACTGATGATTTTCATAAACGAAAGCGCGCATTGCATTTTGTTGTAGAGGATGGCGGGGGGGTCGATACCAGCCTGGTTGGGATGGTATGAATTCATAATTTACGTAAGGAGGACGATGGGGCAGAAGCAAATGTAAGTTGCACTACGAAAAGAGGAGCCGATAATCCTGGGGGGTAGAGTATATTTTCTAATTAGAGAAGACATAGCTTCCCCAATTAGTGCTTGCCTCTATAGCGGATTAATATGGTTAGGTGAGCTTTGCCGCCGATTTCCACGGCCCGCCCGGGTGCCCGGGTGCCCGGCTGCCCAGGTGCCTGGGTGCCTTGGTGCCCCGGTGCCGTATAGCCCTATAACCCTATAGCCCTATAGCCTTCTAGCCCCATAGCCCCATAGCCCTATAGCACTATAGCCCCACATCCCTGTAGCCCAAAAGCCCTATAGCCTTGTAGCCTTATAGCCCTATAGCCCTATCGCCCTCGAGCCCTATAGTTCTATAGCCCTCTAGCCCCATAGCTCTATAACCCTCTAGCCCAATTGCCCCATAGCCCTATAGCCCTATAGCCCAATAGCCCAATAGCACTCTAGCCCCAATGCCGCATAGCTCTATAGCCCTCTAGCCCTATAGCATAGCTTTATAGCTCTATATGCCCCACAGCCCTTGAGCCCCATAGCCGTATATCCCTATAGCTCTTTAACATAGCCCTATGGCCCTATAGCCCAATAGTCCATAGCCCCAAAGCCCTATAGCCCACAGCCCTGTAGCCTACAGCCCTATAGCCATATAGCCCTATAGCCCTATAGCCCCTACAGCCCTATAGACCTATAGCCCTATGGCCCTAGAGCCCTACAGTTCCATAGCCCCATAGCCCCATAGCCCTATCGCCCCAAAGGCCAGTAGCCCCATAGCATGAAAGCCCTACAGCGACTTTGATTGTAGTTCTTCCCCGGTACCATTCTCTTCTTAGGAAGGAGAATACTACGACGGCGACGGCGGCGACGGGCGGCACCGCCCGCAAGAGCCGCGCCTCGCCCCGAGCGGCAGCGCCGGCGACGGCGACGGCGGCGGCGACGGGCGGCGCCGGCCGCCAAAACCGCCTCTCGCCCCGAGCGGCGATGGCGACGGCGGCGACGGGCGGCACCGCCCGCAAGAGCCGCGACTCGCTTTGAGCGGCAGCGCCGGCGACGGCGACGGCGGCGGCGACGGGCGGCACCGGCCGCCAAAACCGCCACTCGCCCCGAGCGGCGGCGACGGCGACGGCGGCAGCGGGCGGCACCGCCCGCAAGAGCCGCGACTCGCCCCGAGCGGCAGCGCCGGCGACGGCGACGGCGGCGGCGACGGGCGGCACCGGCCGCCAAAACCGCCACTCGCCCCGAGCGGCGATGGCGACGGCGGCGACGGGCGGCACCGCCCGCAAAAGCCGCGACTCGCCCCGAGCGGCAGCGACGGCGACGGCGACGGCGACGGCGGCGACGGGCGGCACCGCCCGCAAAAGAGGCCATTCACCCCGAGATGGTTGAACCAAGAATTAACCCCTAAGTGCAAGCACTGTTTGGGGAATGTGCAGGCCGCCACACAGGGAATCATCAACCAGCCATCAAGGAAATTAATTTGCAATCCGCCCGAAAAGAGCCGAAAAGTAACGCCGCCAGTAGAAGGACTTTGTGTGGGCCGCCACACATGGAATCCCCTAGCGAGGCCGTCGCAAAACGAAACCTACGTGTACGCCGCCAAAGGGGATCCGATTATAACCTTCCGCAAATAATGCCACAAAAGAGAGCCGGTCTAGTCTCCTACAGAGAAGATCCTTTGCATTCCTCCGGACAAGAACATCCTGCAGCATTCTGCGACAGAGGGAATATATCAGCAATCCCCCCTCCAAAGGAATCTAACTGCAATCTGCCACAAAGGCAACGTTGATGCAATATGTCACAAAAGAAATCCTTGTGTAAGTTCCCACTGCTTCATTGAGATGCAATAGGAACCACAGATGGCACTCAAACACACACACACACACGGCTTGTCGCAGGGAAGACGAAGAGATTCAGATAGCAAACGGACAGCCGAAGTAACGAGCAGAGAAAAGAGAAAGTAGGAAAGGATGTGGTACACACAGGCACACACACGGCTTTTTCAATTCCACAGGGGGTCCCTGATTACTGGACGTCTGTGATGTGTTTGGGGGGAGGGGGAAAGGGGCGGTGAAAGCTCGCCCCCTCCCCCACTCGGGCGACCACAGAACGCGCCCTCCCAATCTCGAGGAACTCCCTGGGATCCTCGGGGTGCTCCGCGGTCTCCCCGGGGTCTCTCGGGGGCCTCCTTGGGGCCGGAGACACGTGCACGTGGACGAAGAGACGACATTGGACTCCAATGTCGCCTGCCGCGTCTCGCGGAGCAGCGCCAGAGCACCCTGCCACTGCCCGCCTTTCTCGCACGCGCTGATCCCAGCGCTGTAGCAGATGGCGTTGGGCTCCACCCTCGCCTCCAGCATCTCCGTGAACAGCACCAGAGCCCACTGCCACCGCTCGCCTTTTTCGCAGGCGCTCATTCCCGCGCTGTAGCTGACGACGTCGGGCTCCAGCCTGGCCACGAGCATCTCTCCGATCAGCGACAAAGACAACTGCCACAGCCCCACTTTCTCGCAGGCGCTGATTGCAACGCTGTAGTTGATGACGCTGGGATCTATACTGGTCTCCACCATCTCACTGAACAGCACCAGAACCCACCACCACTGATCCACTCTCTTGCACGCGCTAATCCCAGCGGTGTAACTGATGGCGTCGGGCTCCAAGTTTGCCTCCACAACCTCGCTGAGCAAAGATAGAGCCCACTGCCACTGCTCGCCTTTCTCGCACGCGCTGATCCCAGCACTGTAGCTGACTAGTGCGAACCCGTGGAAAATCCACGGCCCGCAGGTCCAGGCGTTGGTCCCGAACGCGCACGTGTCGGAAGCGCTGGAAGCGTCAAAAGTAATGTGTTTTTGCTAATCGCGCGAGGCCTGGGCGCGATTAGCAGAAACACGTAGGTTTTCAGACACAATCAGAGTAAGGGGGCCCGAACGATCTTACAGAATCCCTGTGCGCGAGAAGTTCGATGTGGGGGGTGGACGCGTGGGGGCCAGAGTTGGGCGTTACGTTGGGGGGCCTCGTTTGAGGGCCACGTTGGGGGGTCTCGTCAGGGGGTCATGATTGGGGGCAACGTTCGCGGCCCTGCCGGGCGCCATGTTTGGGGGCCGCGTGCTGCACATGTGACGGTCGCGTTTGAGGGTGCGGGGTTCGGGGGCAGATGTGACGGTCACGTTTGAGGGCAATGGTTGGGGGCTGTGTGTGCTGGGGCCACGTTTGGGGGCGCCTGGGGGCTACGCGTGGGGTTGACGTTCGGGGGCCACGCTTACTGGGGCGGTAAGGGCGACCTTCGGAGGCTTTGTATGGGGGCCGCCTTTGGGGGTCCCGTTTGGAGGCCACGCGTGGGGCCGACGTGTAAGGGGCCACGTCCAGGGGCGATCTCAGAAAGCAGTCGGGGAGCCCCGGAGGCACTGACCTGGAAGCGTGAAAAGGAATGGGTTTTTGCTAATCGCGCTGGGACTGTGCGCGATCACCCCAAGCTCAAGCCATGGTCCACGGGGCCCTCGAGGCACGTCTCTGGGGCATTTCGAGGCTGTCGTGGGGCTCTGGCAGGATCGGCTTCGGCTCTCTTGGACGTGTTTGGGGCCGTCTTGGAGCGTTCTGGGGGTCTGGGAGCCGTCGGGGAGCGCTCCAGGGGCGTCCTGGGGGCGTCGGGGAGCGGCTCAGAGCTCTGGCAGGTCGAAGCCAGCAGAACTGAGAGAGCAGCGGCGCGGCGCCCGATACAGCCAAGGGTGCGGGTGCTGGGATACGTAGGGCTCCGAACCTGCTGTAGTGGCCTGCGGGCAATGTCGCTGCGGGCCTGGGTAATGGGTAAGAGATCTCGTGGATGTTGGTTAGGATCTCGTGGCTGGTCTCTCGGGAGCCTCTGGGAGACAGTTTGGGGGCTTCTTGGTAGCAGTTTGGGGGCGTCCTGGGGCCTCTTGGGCCCTCTTTTGGGGCCTCTTGGGAGCCTTTTGGGGCGCTTGGCGGCCTCTGGGGGGCCTCTTGGAGCCTCTGTGGGGCGTCCTGGGGCCTCCTGGGGATGTCTTGGGAGCGTCCCGGCGTTTCTTTGGGGCTTCCTGGGGGCCTCTTGGGGTGGAGGCCTAACTTTTTCGGTTCTGGGTCCCTGTCTCTTGGGCCTCTCTTGGGGCCTTCTTGGGGCCCTCTTGGGCTGTCTTGGGCGACTCCTGGGCCGTCTTGGGGCCCTCTTGGGCCGTCTTGGGGCCATCTTGAAGGCCTCTTGGGCCGTCTCGGAACGGTCTGGGGGGGGCCTCTTGGGCGGTCTTGGAGCGTCGGAAAGCCGAAAGCGCGAGAAGGCCAGAAACATCAGACAAAAACAAAGAAAATCAACGACTTTGGCTTCTGCGGCCCCTCTTGGAGGTACACTTCGAGCGCTCTGGGGGCCTCGTGGAGGCGTCCCGGGCCGTCTTGAAGGCGTCTTGAAGCCATTTTGAGCGTCTCGGATCCACTCTTGGACCGTCTTGGGCCGTCTTCGGGACCTCCTGAAGCCGTCTTGGGGCGATCTGGGAATCCTGGATCAGTCCGCCAGCGGTCCGGGGGCCTCCCGGGCCCGTCGGGCAGCGGCCCGGAGGCTCTCCGGGCGGCCCGCGAGCTCTCTGGGCGGCCCGGGGCGCTGCCACTGCCTGACCTTCTCGCGCGCGCTTCGCCCGGAATTGTAGTACAGATGACGTTGGGCTCCAGCTTCGCTTCCCGCATTTCAATGAGCAGCGACACGGCACGCTGCCACTGCTCGCCCTTCTCGCACGCTCTGATCCCGGCGCTGTAGCTGACTAGGGGCTGATTCATGGACTGTCTCCTCGGCAAGCGGCCTGATCTGATCATAATTCCCCCGACGGCCACGAAGGCTTACTCGCATACCGTGAGGGTCGACTGTCTATTCGACCTCCTGTCTGCCATCCTGCCGGCGAGGGTGTCTCGGCTGGTGGCCTGCATCTCGTGGCACGACCGCCTGCCGCCTTTGTTGCCTGCTTCGTTGCTTGCTCGTCCGCCTGCTGCTGCTCAAATGCTGCCGCTTGCTGCTTAGAGCCGCCTCGAGGCCGTCTTGTCTTAGGTCGGACGTGTCCCCGTACAGGCGGATTGTGGACCATAAAAATGCCCCTAAATGGTCAAAGCATCGTCCCGTACCATTTTTTTACAATCTTAAAACATTCCCCCCGTAGAGGGACAGGCCCGACTCAAGCTCAGAGCCGCCTCGAAGCCATCCTGCCTGGGGGCCGACTTCGAGGCGCGTCGGACCACGCCGAGGCCGGGCGGGGCCTTGCCCGTGTGCAGTATACCTCTGGCCAGGGGGGAAAGAGCGAAGAGCGAGGAGGAGAGAGGGGGGAGACGAGCACTGAGCTGAAGTCGGGCCTGTCCCCCTAGAGGGGGATCTTGGACGAAAAAGTAAAAATGTTCCAACAATACCCTGAAACAATGAAACAATGCTCAAAACATCGATTCTTGAATTCTCCCCCTGTAGAGGGACAGGCCCGACCTAACACTGGGCCTTGGAGGGAGGAGCAGTGAAGCATGGGCAAGGAGCGATGGGGGCGAGGAGGAGGGCGGCAGGGCTGTCTCAGCGGGACGCTTGGGAGCACATGGATGCTCTCTTGGGGTCTCGTGGGAGCCTCCACGGTCCCAGTGAAGCCCCACGAGACGGAACCCTCAGATGCGAAGGCCCCACAAAACAACAGCTAGAGTGTGCGGTGCCCCGAAGCCCCGCCACCACCTCTGGGGGCCCTTGCGGAGGCCTCCGCAGCCACCTTGGGAGCAGACTGGGGCCTCGGAGGCTTCATTAGGCCGCGTTGCAGCTTTCCTGGGGGTGCGGCAAAAATCAAGGGGGCTCTCCTAGGGGACCTCTTGGACCGCCTGGAGGCCGTCTTCGGGATCGACCGCCGCGGGGTCGTCGAGGGGGTCTCGTGGACGTCCTCGGCACTGCCAGCGTCCCGCCTGGACGGCTCGCGCCCCCCTCGCCAGCTCCGCACGCGCACGGGGCTCAAAAAGGCACCGTACCGACCTCAGTGGCCTCCAACGACCCCTCCCGCATCGCGCAAAGCAGCCGCAAGGCCCGCTGCCACTGCCCATCCTTCCCGCACGCGCTTATCCCAGCGTTGCAGCTGATGCACTATAGTAGAGACTAGGGCTGACCCGCGGATTGGCGACCACGACAGCCTCCACGCAGGCACGTACGGCGATCGCGTGCCTGCGTGCTGTCCTGCGCGCGCATGGCTGCCAGCCTGCTGGCCAGACAGCTTTCTCCCCGGCGCTCCCGATTGCAAGCTGGCCAGCGTGCCTGCTTCCTTGCTTCATTGATTGCTCCTCCGCTCGCTGCCGCGTGCTGCTGCTTGGTCTTGCTTGGTGCTAATTATGCTGTCTGGAGAGCTTCTGCCGCTACTGCCTGCTTGCTGGTGCGTGTTGCTAAATGCTCAGCTGCTTGCATGCTGACCTGATTTCTGGCGTGCGTCGTTCATCGCCATTTGCTGCTGCTGTTTTGGCTGCAGCTATATACCATACCTCCTGCTGTGTGTTTGCCGTTTCTCATTTCTGCTACCGCCTCCTGTTGCATATAGCCTGCTGCTTGCTGTGGCTTGGTGCTGGCGATTGCTGCTTGCCTGCTGCTGCTGGTAGCTGCTGATATCTGCTGCTGGTTGCTGCTTCTGTCGGGGGGACGTAAAACTCGAATTGTGGGGACTGCGGACTTATCAGACGGAACCGTGTCATACAAATGACGGGGCAAAACTGACATTTGACGCAAACTCCCACTGAAAACATCTCACGGAAATGGGGCCGTGAAAAGTCACGCTGGGACAAGCGAGGGCGAAATCCAGCTCAGGCAAGCTCGAGTCTCATGTTTCCCTCGGTAGTTGCTGCTCAGTATGGCTACCCCTGCTCGCTTTGCTGCTGGTGGATCTGGGGACCGTGCTGGGGCAATATGTTGCCAGCTGTATTGGAGGCGTCTTGGCGCCCTGTTGGGCAGGGGAGGGAGGGAGGGAGGGAGGGAGGAAGGAGGAGGGATGTGCGAGCTGTCAAGAGACTGGAGCAAAGGGCCACGAGGGAGGAGGTGGGATGCGTGAGAACAGAAGAGCCAGGATCGATAAAAGACCTGCGAGGAGCGAAGTGCAGGGTGCGAGGAGCGAATAACAATGGCCCAGGAAAGAGGAGCCCGGAACGAGAAGGGGAAAATGGAGCGTAGAGGAGCCGCCAGCACAGGGGTCTCCAAAACGCTTCGACGCGCGCATGGCCGATGTCGCGGGCTGGAACTTTACACTCCGTGTCTCGCGTCCGTGCCCCAGTTGTGGGTGAGAGACGTTTTGGCTGCATGTCAGGGGCTCTTGGAACACCTCAGAGGGGCCTCGTGGAGGCGCAATGGCAGTCGCTTGAGGGCCTCCTGGGGGCGCCTCCTGGGGGCGTCTGCGATGGTCTTCCTCGAGCGTCTGGGGGGTTCTTCGAGTATCGTTTAACCGATCCCATCCCCAGCGGCGTGACCTGGGCCCTACTGGCCGATCTGACCCCCTAGATGGGGGGTATGGGCCGTTCCCTTCGGGTTTCGAGGGGTGTATCTCCAACCGGGGGGGCAATTTGGTGGGGGTCTCGAAGGGGACGGGGATGGGGATGGGGGTCGGTGAAATGATACTGATCCTTGGGGGCGACTCGGAGGCCTGCTGGCCGTCTCGTGGGCCAGATGGAGGGGAAAGAGCTGGAAGCGCCGATTCGGGGTTCCCTCTCTTGGGCCCCGTCCTGGGCCCTGTTGGGGCCTCTTGGACCGTCTCGGGGGCATCTCAGGCTGTCTTGGCGAGCCCCTCGGGCCGTCTTTCCTAGGGCCTACGGGATCGTCTTAGGGCGATCTCGAGGGCCTCAGGGGCCGTCTCTGGCGACCTGAGGCCCGAAACTGCCAACAGTTGGAAGTACGTCAAAACCCAACACACTTGCACCTGGAAGCCAACGTGTGGCTCCTCTTGAAGCCTTCTTGAGGCGTCTTCGGGGCTGCGGGAGCCGTCTTGGAAGCCATCGTGAGTCGTCGTGGGGCCCTCTTGCGTGGTCATGATGGCATCTGTTGACACCTGGGCGCTCACTTGGAGCCCATGGAGCTCTCGGGGGCTCCATGTCGCCTCCGGGAGCCGCCAGAGGGCCGAAACAAGACAATCGAGTCTTAGGCACTTCTCGCATGCGCTTGCTCCTGCTGCGTAGTGGAGGTAACATTGGGCTCCAGCTTCCTCTCACACATCTCGCTGAGCAGCGCCAGCGCCCGCTGCCACTCCCCGCCCTTCTCGCACGCGCTGGTGCCAGCGCTGTAGCTGACTGGGGCTGTCCCGTGGACTGCGTCCACGAGAGCTGCACGAAAATGGCATATGATTGTGGACATGCTGCCGAAAGACAGAAACGATCACGTGGGGCTCGGCCTCGCCTTCCGCGCATGCTGCTGCATGCTGCTGCTTGCGGCTGTTGCGTACTGCTGGTCGCGCTTGCATCTGATGCGTGCCGCTGCTGCCTGCAGCTGCAGGGTGCTGCTGATGGCCAGCTCTGCTCGGTGCGGGCTGCTGCCCGCTGCCTGCCGCTGCTTGCTCCTCCTCCTCCTCCTCCTCCTCCTCCTCCTCCTCCTCCTCCTCCTCCTCCTCCTGCTCCTGCTCCTGCTCCTCCTCCTCCTCCTCCTCCTCTCGAGGGTCTCCTGGGGCCTCGCGAGGGGAGGCCTCTCGGGAGGCCTCTCGGAGACCTCTCGGGGGTCTCCTGGGGCTTCCGCGCCGGGCTGCCTCGGCGCCCCCGCGGCCCTCCCAGGCCCCCCCCGGAGCAGTGCGGACGCCCTAGGGCCTCGGTGCCCCCGGGAGCGCTCTGGGGGGAGCCCGGGGGACGCTCGGGGGGGGGGGGGTCTTGGGGGCCCTCTTGGTGCGTTCCTCTGCCGCCTTGGGCACGCTTCGGGGCCGTCTTGGCGGCCTCCTGGGCCGTCGGAGTCCTGGGGCCTCGTGTGGGGCCGTCTTGGCGGCCTTCGTGTGCCGTGGGCCTCTCGGGCCGTCGTGGGTCGATCTCGGAGGCGCTTGTGGGCCGTCCTGGGCGCCCCGAGACCCCAACAGTGCAAGCGTGCAAAAATCATTTGACAAAACCAACGGGAAACCAACGTTTTTGCACCTGGCCATGTTGGGCCATCTTGCGCGGTCTCGGAGCGCAGTTGGACCGCCTCGGCCTGTCTTGGGCAGTCTAGGGCCGCTCCTGAGGCGCCCGCGGCGGCCCCGAGGACCCGGCCTGAGCGGCCCGCGGGGACCACCTCGCTGCCGCTGGAGATCCTCGTCGCGCGCACTCGTCGCGGCTTTGTAGGAGAGATGACGTCGGCCTCCAACTTCGCCTCGCACATTTCACTGAGCAGAGCCAGCGCCCGCTGCCACTGCTCGCCCTTCTCGCACGCGCTGATCCCAGCGTTGTAGCTGATGATGACTAGGGCTGACCCGCGGTCTTCCGGCCGCGGAATCTGCCCGCCATGGCTTGGACGTGGAAGTGGAGCGTCTCTGGGGCCTCGCGGGTAAGGGGAGGTTGGAGGGGACGGTGTGGATGGAGGAGGTGGCCGCTGGAGGGGGAGGTGGGCGAGGGATGCAGGCAAGCAGGCCTGAAGGCAGGAACGCGGTGGTGGAGGCGGTGTCAATGGAAGCGCACCCATGTAGGCATGACAGCTGTTTCTTACGCCGCAGTCTGTGTTCATCATAGCTTCTTCGGGGAGGGCAGCCGTGAGAAGTTATCTGCTCTTCGCCGGGGCCGAATGATAATTTGATGTGGTAGTGTGGTGACAATGGGGCCAGTGGGCGCGGCCTAGGAGGCCCGCAAGAGGGCGGCGAGACGTAACTCCCTAAGACGGGCCCCAGTGCGAGGACACGAATCGACCTTTCGAGCGCACCGCCCCAAGACGTCCCCAAATGGCGCAGAGATGGCTCGCAGTGGGTCCAAGAAGCCCCCAAGACGATACTGGAAGTTCGACGCTCCCCAAGAGAGAAGCATCCAACGCCTCTTGGGGGCCGCTTGGGGGCCCTTTTCGTCCTCCTGGGGGTCTCTTGAAGCCCTCTTGGGCAATCTTGAGTGCGTCTTGGGCCGTCTTGGGGCGATGTGGGGCCGTCTTGGGCGCCTCTCGGCATCTTGGGACAGTCTTGGAGCTATCTTGGGCAAATATTGGGCGCTCTTGGGGTTGTCTTTGGTGTGTCTTGAGCCGTCTCGTGCGCCTCTGGAGCCGTCCCTGACGGCCCAGAGACCGTCTTGGGGACTGTCCAAACAGAAAGGCTTGGAGACGGGGTGGTGGGGGCATCTACAGCCGTCTTGGAGACGGGGCGGTGGGGCCGTCTTGGGCCATTGTTAACTGCTCTTGGGGCTGTCTTGGGTGCGTCTTGGGCCGTCTCGGGGCCCTCCTGGGGCCCTCCTGGGAAGCCTCTTCGGCGTCTCTTGGGCCGTCGTAGAGGCGTCTTGGGCCGTCTTGGCGCCGCAAAATGCAGTCTTGGCTTGTCGTGGAGCGCTCTTGGAGCGTCTTGGGGATACCTTGGGCCGTCCTGGGAGCCTCTTGATGTCGCCCTGGGGCCGTTTTGGGCGCCTCTTGGGCTCTCTTGACGCCCTCTCGGGCCGGTTTTCGTGCGTCTTGGGGGCCTCTTGGACCGTCTTAGGGGCGGTCGTGGGGACCTTGAACCAGCTTCTGCGCCATATTCCCGACAAGCAGCGCATGCTAAAATTGAACGTTTCTTCTGCGGGAAAACAATGATTTTCGCCTCTTGGGGCCATCCTTGGACGCCTCTTGGGCGTCTCTGGGGCCGTCGTGGAGGCCTCCTGGGCCGTCTTGGGTTTGTTTTCGGCGGTCTTGGGCTCTCTTGGAGCGCTCTTGGGCCGTCTTGGGGGTGTCTGGGGCCGTCCTGGGCGCCTCCTGGGAGCCTCTTGGGGCCGCCTGGGGGCCGTGTTGGGCGCCTCTTGGGTCTCTTGACACTCTCTCGGGCCGTTTTTCGTGCCTCTGGGGGGCCTCTTGGGCCGTCTTGGGGGGGTCGTGGGGACCTCTTGTCCCATCTTCTGCGCCATATACCCGACAAGCAGTGTGGAGTGAAGGGTCTGTTGGGGCCATGGGTGGGCCTGTGGGGGCCATCCTGGGACGCCTCTTGGGCGTCTCTGGGGCCGTCGTGGAGGCCTCCTGGGCCTTGTCGGGGCCGTTTTCGGCGGTCTTGAGCTCTCTTGGAGCGCTCTTGGGCCGTCTTGGGGGTGTCTGGGGCCGTCCTGGGCGCCTCTTGGGCCGCGTGAGCGCCTCTGGGGCGTCCCCGGAGCCGTTGCGGGGTATATTAAGTCGATGAAGACAGGGACCCTTCCCGCACGCGCGGGCCCCTGCATTGTAGAGAAGACTAGGGCTGACCCGTGGACTCCGTCCACGACATCTTTCTGGAATGGTTCTCGGAGGAACGGCGCAAATTGTACCGAAAATCTACAAACACGGCGGCGGCTCGGGCGGCGGCAGCGAGACCGCGCATTCGTGTCCGAGCTCTTGCAGCACTCCAGCAGCTTGGCCCAGCGCACTGCTCGTTCACCCCCCTCCTATTGAGGACAGTTTCGAAGTCTCTCGGGGATGTGCGTCGAAGTCGAAGCCCATCTGAGGCGTCTCAGGAGCGCTGGGGGAAGGGCTCGGGATGCCATCGGGGAAAGCCACCGAAAGCGCCGGGGAGGCTCGCAAGGATCTACAGGGAGGGCCCAAGAGAGCTTCAAGAAAATTTGAAATTGTGTAAAAATCTTTAGAGAAACCGCTGTTGGGTCGGCCATCACCTCCGGGCGGGCCTTGATGGTGCGATCCAGTCGCATCACCGCCAACGGGAGGGTTTGTTCGCCATGTCCCATTCTGTTCGCCCAGAGGGTCTGTGGAGGCCTTCGGGCGAACAGAACGGGACAGGGCAAGGAATGGGGAAGACTTGTCCGAATCTCCTGGGCCCCCCAGGTGCTCGTCCGAAGAATGCGGAGAGGTCCCAGGGTCATATCAATTGGCTGCTGTCCCAGGGGTCCGGTCTGCTTGGCCCGAAGAGTTTGCCAAGGCCCCTGGGGGAACAGAATGGCACAGCATATCGGGCAAAGGGGGGCGGTAGCTGGCCTGTCAGACCCGGCGTTCGTCTTCTGCCCAAGCGGCGCGGGGCCCACGGGCCCCAGGGTTGGCGTCCCGCTGGGATTCCTCTTGTTCGCCCACAGGGTTGGAGGAGGCCTCCAGGCGAACAGAATGGGGCAGGACAATGAATGTGGGAGACTTGTCGCAAGCTCCCAGCCCCCCCAAGTGTGCGCCCGAAGGGTGCGGGGCCGCGCTGGCTCCCTCAAAGGGCCGTCTTGGAGCCGTCTAGGCCAGTCTTGAGGGCGCCGTTTGCCGTGATGGGGCCGTCTTGGTTCGTCGTGGGCCCCTCATGGGCGCGTCCGTAGGCCGTCCTGGGCCCATCGGGGTCCTCGTGTGGCTGTCTTGGAGCCGTCTGGGACCGTGAGGGGGCAGCCTTGGAGTCGTCTTGGGCCCCTCCTGTGCGCCTCCTTGGGCCGTCCTGGGCCCTGCAGGGGCCGTGTTGGCACCCTCTTGGGGCTGTCTTGGAGCCGTCTTGAGCCGTCGCAGCGCGCCTTGGGTTGTGCTTGGTCCGTCTTGGCCCGTCTTGGGGCCTTCCTGGACGTTTCCTCGGACCCTCCTGGGACTTTCTGGGGCCTCTTGGTGCATCGGACCGCCGAAACGGCGGGAAATGCAAAGGGTGTAACAGTCAACAATGGAAAATTAACGATTTTTGCCAGCTGGGGCTCTCTTGCCATCTTGGCCCGTCTTGAGGCCCCGACAGGGCGCGTCCTTGGGCCGTCCTGGGCGCACCCTCCTGGGACCGTCTTGGAATCGTCTTGGGCCGTCTTGAGCGCGCCTTGGGCCGTCCTGGGCCCGTCTGGGGCCGTGTTGGCACCCTCGCGGCGAGGAAGCTCGGAGGCGGGCTCGAGGCCTCTTTGGGGCCATTTTGGAAGCTGTTGGGGCCTCTGTTGGGGCCTCGTTTGGGCTCCTTGGGAGCCTCCTGGGGCCTCTTCGGGGGATTCTTGGCGGCCCCTTGGGGCCTCTTGGGGGCCTGTTTGGGCCTCCTGGCGCCCTCTTGGGGCGGAAGGCTCGGATTTTCGGTCCGTGGTCCCCCTCTTGGCCCCCTCTTGGGCCTGTCTTCGGGCCCTCGTGGGCCGTCTTGAGCGTCTCTTGGGTCGTCTTGGGGCCCTCTTGGGCTGTCTTGGGGCGCTCTTGGAAACCTCTTGGGCCGTTCTGGGGCGCTCTTGGAGGCCTCTTGGGCCGTCTTCGAGCGTCGGAAAGCGGAAAAGGCGAGAAGGCCAAAATCCTTCCAAAACCGTCGTAAAGCGGACGATTTTGAGGCCCAAAACCGTCCAAAACCTCCTGAGGCGGTCCCCTCGTCGCTTCGCGAAGCCCCGTGGCACCTCTTGGGGACCTCTTTTGGGCTCCTGGGGGCCTCTTGGGCCTCTCTGGGCCCGTCTATCGCGCCCCTTGGGCTGTCTTGGGGCCCCCTAGGGCCTTCTTGGGCGGTCCTCGGGCCGTCTTGGAGGCATCTTGGGCCGCTCTTCGGGCCATCTTGAGGTCCCGTTGGCCTGTCGCCTCTGGGGCCGTCCTGGGGCCGCCTTGGACCGTCTTGGGGCCCTCTTGGACCGTCTTGGGGTTGTCTTGGGCCGTCTTGGGGTCCTCTTGGGGACCTCTTCGACCGTCTTGGAGCGGTCTTGGATGCCTCTGGGGGGGGTTCGGAGCGTCGGGAAGCCGAAGAAGCGAGCAAGCAAAAAACCTCGGAAAAAGAACAATGAAAATCAACGATTTTGGCCTCCCAGGGCTCTCTTGGGAGGCCTCTTGGGAGGCCTATTGGGCCGTCTTGGGAAGCTCTTGGGCCGTCTTGGGCCAATCTTGGGCGTCTTGGCCGGATCATTGCGCGTCTCGGGACCCTCTCGGGCCGCCTTCGGGGCATCTTGAGCGGCTCGGAGCCGTCTTTGGGCCGTCGGGGCGGCCTCCGGAGCGTCTCGGAGCCGTTTCTAGCCATTTGGGTCGATTTCCTTCCGGCACGCGCTTCCTCCGGCCATATAGTATTGGCCTCTCGGGGCTCTCTTGGGAGGCCTCTTGGGAGGCCTATTGGGCCGCCTTGGGGAGCTCTTGGGCCGTCTTGGGCCAAATCTTGGGCGTCTTGGCCGGATCATTGCGCGTCTCGGGGCCCTCTCGGGCCGCCTTCGGGACATCTTGAGCGGCTCGGAGCCGTCTTTGGGCCGTCGGGGCGGCCTCTGGAGCGTCTCGGAGCCGTTTCTAGCCATTTGGGTCGATTTCCTTCCGGCACGCGCTTCCTCCGGCCATATAATATAGTATTGGCCTCTCGGGGCTCTCTTGGGAGGCCTCTTGGGAGGCCTATTGGGCCGCCTTGGGGAGCTCTTGGGCCGTCTTGGGCCAAATCTTGGGCGTCTTGGCCGGATCATTGCGCGTCTCGGGGCCCTCTCGGGCCGCCTTCGGGGCATCTTGAGCGGCTCGGAGCCGTCTTTGGGCCGTCGGGGCCGCCTCCGGAGCGTCTCGGAGCCGTTTCTGGCCATTTGGGTGGATTTCCTTCCGGCACGCGGTTCCTCCGGCCATATAGTATAGACTAGTGTGAACCCGTGGAAAATCCACGGCCCGCAGGTCCAGGCGTTGGTCCCGAACTCGCACGTGTCGCCGAAGCCTGGGCGAGGCCCTGGGCGGGCGAAACTGGATAATTCATCAGGGGAACTCGACAACTCGTCGTTGGACAGAATCTGAGAACGTGAAGAGAACCCGTGCTCGAACACTCCAAGTGTTAGCCCACTTGGGCTAGGTTGCCGTCCTGACCGGAACCCTGAATGGGCGAGGGGTCGATGCAGGGCCCCGAGGGGCCGAAACCTCGGGAAACTCAGATCGTCTTGGGCGGTGTCCAAGGCCTTGGGGCACGTGTGGGTGCCAATCCTGGCGCAGTGGAATGGCCAGAACCTTCGGATTCTCGCTAATCGCGGAGAGGCCGGGCGCGATTAGCGAAAACCCGATGCTTTTTAAAACCTCCACGCCCGGCCTTAATCGGTTACGACAGCCCTCTTGGGCCCTTTGGGCGCCTCGTGGGGCGGCTTGGGGCAATCTTGGGGATGTGAGGCGGTCTCGGACCTCGCGTTGGGCTCCCGTGGGCGGCCGTCGTGGGGCTCTGGCCGGATCGGCTTCGGCTCTCTTGGGCGTCTTTGGGGCCGTCTTGGAGCGATGTGGGGGTCTGGGAGCCGTCGGGGAGCGCTCCAGGGGCGTCCTGGGGCCGTCGGGGAGCGGCTCAGAGCTCTGGCAGGTCGAAGCCAGCAGAATCGAGAGAGCAGCGGTGAGGCCCCCGATACAGCCAAGGGTGCGGGTGCTGGTATACGTAGGGCCCCGGAACCGGCTGTAGTGGCCTGCGGGCAATCTCGCCGCGGGCCCGGGTAATGAGTAACAGATCTCGTGGATGTTGGTTGGGATCTCGTGGTTGGCCTCTCGGGAGCCTCTGGGAGACAGTTTGGGGGCTTCTTGGTAGCAGTTTGGGGGCGTCTTGGGGCCTCTTGGCCCCGCTTTTGGGGCCTCTTGGGGGCCTTTTGGGGCGCTTGGCGGCCTCTGGGGGGCCTCTTGGAGCCTCTTTGGGGCGTCCTGGGGCCTCCTGGGGATGTCTTGGGAGCGTCCCGGCGTTTCTTTGGGGCGTCTTGGGGCTTCCTGGGGGCCTCTTGGGGTGGAGGCATAGATTTTTCGGTTCCGGGTCCCTGTCTTGGGCCTCTTGGTGCCTTCTTGAAGCCCTCTTGGGCCGTCTTGGGCGACTTTTTGGCCGTCTTGGGGCCCTCTTGGGCCGTCTTGGGGCTGTCTTGAAGGCCTCTTGGGCCGTCTTGGGACGGTCTTGGGGGCCTCTTGGGCGGCCGTGGAGCGTCGGAAAGCCGAAAAAGCGAGAAGGCGAAAAACATTCTAAAAAAATTAAGAAGATCAGCGATTTTGGCTTCTGCGGCCCCTCTTGGGGGTGCACTTGGAGCGCTCTGGGGGCCTCGTGGAGGCGTCTCGGGCCGTCTTGAAGGCGTCTTGAAGCCATCGTAAGCGTCTCGGATACACTCTTGGACCGTCTTGGGCCGTCTTCGGGCCCTCCTGAGGCCGTCTTGGAGCGATCTGGGAATCCTGGATCAGTCCGCGAGCGGTCTGGGGGCCTCCTGGGCCCGTCGGGCAGCGGCCCGAAGGCTCTCCGGGCGGCCCGCGAGCTCTCTGGGCGGCCCGGGGCGCTGCCACTCCTTGGCCTTTTCGCGAGCGCTTCGCCCGGAATTGTAGTACAGAGACTAGGGCTGACCCGCGGCCTTCCGGCCGCGGAATCTGCCTGCCATGGTGTGGACACCGCAGTGGGGCCAGTCAGGCGCCAGGGGCACGGGAGGATCACCGATGGGACGCTGGAGTAACTGTCCATTTGGTTTACTTTGGCTACGCGTTAGGAGCCTTCTCAGGGTGTCTGGACACTCTGGAGGCCTTCTTCGGGGCATGCTTGGGACATCTCTGTGGCCCCTATCGGCTTTTGGGCCATTCTGGACGCCCTCCTCGTCATCCCCTGGATCCTTCATCCCGTCGATCTTCGTTAGGAGCCGCCTCGGTGTGTCTAGACCCTCTTGGGGCCTCCTGGCCATGCTCGGGACATCTCGGTGGCTTCTATCCGCTTATCGGGCCATTTTGGGCATCCTCCTCCTCCTCCTCCTCCTCCTCCTCCTCCTCCTCCTCCTCCTCCTCCTCCTCCTCCTCCTCCTCTTGCTTCTCCTCCTCCTCCTCCTCCTCCTCCTCCTCCTCCTCCTCCTCCTCCTCCTCCTCCCCTCGATACTTCATCCCGTCAATCTCCGATCGTCAGTCGTCGACGCTCCCCAAGAGACAGGCATCCAAGGCCTCTTGGTGGCCACTTGGGGGCCTGTTTTCGTGGACCATCTTGGGGCCGTCATGCGGCCTTCTGGGTCCTTGTTGGGGCTCTTTGGAGCTGCCTCGGGGCTGTCCTGGATGCCTCTGAGGCCGCCCTGGGCGACTCTGGAGCTGTCCTGGCGCCGTAATGGGTCGTCTTGGGACTCAAGTCCTCGGCCCGCCCGGCGGAGCCTAAGGCCCTAGCCCCAAGGTTGTTTGGGTCCGCGCCCTTGGCGCCCTCCGAGGCGGAGGAGGAGGCGGAGGCGGAGGCGGAGGCGGAGGAGGAGGAGGAGGAGGAGGAGGAGGAGGAGGAGGAGGAGGAGGAGGAGGGAGGCGGGAGGAGGGAGGAGCGAGGAGCGAGGGAGGAGGGAGGAGGGATGAGGGAGGAGGGAGGAGGAGGAGGAAGGAGGAGGAGGGAGGAGGAGGAGGAGGAGGAGGAGGAGGAGCAGGAGGAGGAGGAGGACGAACCCCAGGGAAACGACGGACCGCGTGTTCCCCGTTCGGGCAGGCCCTTGTGGTCTGCGAATGTCCTTCGGTGTCGGAATGGGCCTGCGGGCTGGAGGGCGCAAGGCTGCGCTGCTGACCCTCTCGTTCCGTGCGCGTGCTTCCTCCTTTGCGTCGCGCCTCGTGCACTCTCGGTGGCGACTCGTCGGGGTGGCGGCTGGACGTGTTCTCTCCGCTTGGGCCATCGGGCGTGCCCCGAGAGAGGCAGAACGAGGGAGGGAGAGAGAGAGAGAGAGAGAGAAAAAAAAAAAAAAAAAAACAGGGAGAGGGAGAGGCATGCAGAGAGAAAGATGTACACATCTTAACCAGAGAGAGAGAGAGAGAGAGAAAAAAAAAAGAAAGAAAGAGAGAACAAAAAAAAGGAAAGAGAGACAACGAGGGAGGGAGGGAGGGAGGGAGGGAGGGAGAGAAAGAGAGAGCGCGAGAGGGAGGCAGCATGAGACAGAGAGAGAGAGATGCACAGGCTTGATCTGCCGCTGTCCATGGAGATGGGGCGGCGCCGTCTGGCAGAGGGCGGGTTGCGACGTGAAGGCGGGGAACGATGGACTTGCTTCCCCGTTTAGACGGTCTAACTACTGTGTTCCGTTCTAGATTAGCCAGGTACCAGCTGGGGCACGTTGGCCCCCTCGGGGCTGAAGTTACTGCTCGCGTCTCTCGCGGCCACGGCTGCCAGCATTGTGGAGGAGGTGACGTCGGGCTCCAGCCTCGCCTCGCACATCTCGCTGAGCAGCGCCAGCGCCCGCTGCCACTGCTCGCCCTTCTCGCACGCGCTGATCCCAGCGCTGTAGCTGACTAGGGCTGACCCGTGGACTCCGTCCACGACATCTTTCTGGAATGGTTCTCGGAGGAACGGCGCAGATTGTACCGAAAATCTAAAAACACGGCGGCGGCTCGGGCGGCGGCAGCGAGACCGCGCCTTCGTGTCCGAGCTCTTGCAGCGCTGCAGCAGCTTGGCCCAGCGCACTGCTCGTTCACCCCCCTCCTATTGAGGACAGTTTCGAAGTCTCTCGGGGATGTGCGTCGAAGTCGAAGCCCATCTGAGGCGTCTCAGGAGCGCTCGGGGAAGGGCTCGGGAGGCCATCGGGGAAAGCCACCGAAAGCGCCGGGGAGGCTCGCAAGGATCTACAGGGAGGGCCCAAGAGAGCTTCAAGAAAATTTGAAATCCAGTGAACTCTTAAGAGAAACCGCTGTTGGGTCGGCCATCACCTCCGGGCGCGCCTTGATGGTGCGATCCAGTCGCATCACCGCCAACGGGAGGGTTTGTTCGCCATGTCCCATTCTGTTCGCCCAGAGGGTCTGTGGAGGCCTTCGGGCGAACAGAACGGGACAGGGCAAGGAATGGGGAAGACATGTCCGAATCTCCTGGGCCCCCCAGATGCTCGTCCGAAGAATGCTGAGAGGTTCCAGGGTCATATCAATTGGGTGCTGTCCCAGGGGTCCGGTTTGCTTGGCCCGAAGAGTTTGCCAAGGCCCCTGGGGGAACAGAATGGCACAGCATATCGGGCAAAGGGGGGCGGTAGCTGGCCTGTCAGACCCGGCGTTCGTCTTCTGCCCAAGCGGCGCGGGGCCTACGGGCCCCAGGGTTGGCGTCCCGCTGGGATTCCTCTTGTTCGCCCACAGGGTTGGAGGAGGCCTCCAGGCGAACAGAATGGGGCAGGACAATGAATGTGGGAGACTTGTCGCAAGCTCCCAGCCCCCCCAAGTGTGCGCCCGAAGGGTGTGGGGCCGCGTTGGCTCCCTCAAAGGGCCGTCTTGGAGCCGTCTAGGCCCGTCTTGAGGGCGCCGTTTGCCCTGATGGGGCCGTCTTGGTTCGTCGTGGGCCCCTCATGGGCGCGTCCGTAGGCCGTCCTGGGCCCATCGGGGTCCTCGTGGGGCTGTCTTGGAGCCGTCTGGGACCGTGAGGAGGCCGCCTTGGAGTCGTCTTGGGCCCCTCCTGTGCGCCTCCTTGGGCCGTCCTGGGCCCAGCAGGGGCCGTGTTGGCACCCTCTTGGGGCTGTCTTGGAGCCGTCTTGAGCCGTCGCAGCGCGCCTTGGGTTGTGCTGGGTCCGTCTTGGCCCGTCTTGGGGCCTTCCTGGGCGGTTCCTCGGACCCTCCTGGGACTTTCTGGGGCCTCTTGGTGCATCGGACCGCCGAAACGGCGGGAAACGCAAAGGGTGTAACAGTAAACAATGGAAAATTAACGATTTTTGCCAGCTGGGACTCTCTTGCCATCTTGGCCCGTCTTGAGGCCCCGAACGGGCGCGTCCTTGGGCCGTCCTGGGCGCACCCTCCTGGGACCGTCTTGGAATCGTCTTGGGCCGTCTTGAGCGCGCCTTGGGCCGTCCTGGGCCGGTCTGGGGCCGTGTTGGCACCCTCGCGGCGAGGAAGCTCGGAGGCGGGCTCGAGGCCTCTTCGGGGCCATTTTGGAAGCTGTTGGGGCCTCTGTAGGGGCCTCGTTTGGGCTCCTTGGGAGCCTCCTGGGGCCTCTTCGGGGGATTCTTGGCGGCCCCTTGGGGCCTCTTGGGGGCCTGTTTGGGCCTCCTGGCGCCCTCTTGGGGCGGAAGGCTCGGATTTTCGGTCCGTGGTCCCCCTCTTGGCCCCCTCTTGGGCCTGTCTTCGGGCCCTCGTGGGCCGTCTTGAGCGTCTCTTGGGTCGTCTTGGGGCCCTCTTGGGCTGTCTTGGGGCGCTCTTGGAAACCTCTTGGGCCGTTCTGGGGCGCTCTTGGAGGCCTCTTGGGCCGTCTTCGAGCGTCGGAAAGCGGAAAAGGCGAGAAGGCCAAAATCCTTCCAAAACCGTCGTAAAGCGGACGATTTTGAGGCCCAAAACCGTCCAAAACCTCCTGAGGCGGTCCCCTCGTCCGCCCCCCTCGCTTCGAAGCAGTTTTTAAGCCCCGTGGCACCTCTTGGGGATCTCTTTTGGGCTCCTGGGGGCCTCTTGGGCCTCCACTGGATTCGCTGCCCTCGGTCGGCAATCGTCGATCCTACGACGACTCTCCCCAACGGAGAAACATCGAAGGCCCTCGGAGCGTCCAACATTGTTCTTTTGTGCCTTCGATATGCCGGTCGCCTCTCGTCCGCTCCCCCCCTCCTGGAAGCAATTCTGAGGCCACGTAGGGCTTCGTGGGGGCCGTTTGGGGATCTCTTGGGGCGTTTTTGCCTGCGATATGCCTGTCGCCTCTCGTCCGCTCCCCCGCTCCTGGAGGGAATTCTGAAGGCACTGAAGGCTTCGTGGGGGCCGTTTCGGAGCCTCTTCGGCCTTCTTTTGGGCCTCCCGGGGGGGCTCTTAGGGCCCTCTCGGGCCGTCTTGGGTGCCTCTTGGGCCGTCTTGGGGCCGTCTGAGACCCGCCTCGGCGCCTCTTGGGCTGTCTTGGGCCGTCTTGGGCCGCTCCTGGGGCCGTCTTGGGTGCCTCTTGGGCCGTCTTGGGCGCCTCCTGGGCCGTCCTGGGGCCGTCCTGGGGCGTCTTGGGACCGTCTGGGGCCCTCCTGGCCCGTCTTGGGGCTCTCTTGGGGTCCTCTTCGGCCGTCTTGGAGCGGTCGGGGGGACTTCTTGGGCCGTCTTGGAGCGTCGGGAAGCCGAAGAGGCGAGGAGGCCGAAAACATCGAAAAACACAGTAGAAATCGACGATTTCTGTCGCTCGGAGCCCTCTTGGGAGGCCTCTTGGGAGGCCTCTTCGGGCGTCTTGGACGCCTCTTGGGCCGCCTGGGGCGAATCTCGGGCGTCTTGGGCCCATCTTTAAGCGTGCCGGGGCTCTCCGGGGCCGTCTTGGCGGCCCGGGGCGGCCCGCGGCCAGCCCGGGGCGGTTTTGAGACATTGGAGCCTGCGCCCTTCTGTTCTTTTGTGCCTTCGATATGCCGGTCGCCTCTCGTCCGCTCCCCCCCTCCTGGAAGCAATTCTGAGGCCACTTAGGGCTTCGTGGGGGCCGTTTGGGGTTCTCTTGGGGCGTTTTTGCCTGCGATATGCCTGTCGCCTCTCGTCCGCTCCCCCGCTCCTGGAGGGAATGCTGAAGGCACTGAAGGCTTCGTGGGGGCCGTTTCGGAGCCTCTTCGGCCTTCTTTTGGGCCTCCCGGGGGGGCTCTTAGGGCCCTCTCGGGCCGTCTTGGGTGCCTCTTGGGCCGTCTTGGGGCCGTCTGAGACCCGCCTCGGCGCCTCTTGGGCTGTCGTGGGCCGTCTTGGGCCGCTCCTGGGGTCGTCTTGGGTGCCTCTTGGGCCGTCTTGGGCGCCTCCTGGGCCGTCCTGGGGCCGTCCTGGGGCGTCTTGGGACCGTCTGGGGGCCCTCCTGGCCCGTCTTGGGGCTCTCTTGGGGTCCTCTTCGGCCGTCTTGGAGCGGTCGGGGGGGCTTCTTGGGCCGTCTTGGAGCGTCGGGAAGCCGACGAGGCGAGGAGGCCGAAAACATAGAAAAACACAGTAGAAATCGACGATGTCTGTCGCTCGGAGCCCTCTTGGGAGGCCTCTTGGGAGGCCTCTTCGGGCGTCTTGGACGCCTCTTGGGCCGCCTGGGGCGAATCTCGGGCGTCTTGGGCCCATCTTTAAGCGTGCCGGGGCTCTCCGGGGCCGTCTTGGGGGCTTCTGGGGCCCTCTGGACATGTCCTGGAGCCTGCCTGGGCGGCCCGGGGCGGCCCGGGGCCAGCCCAGGGCGGTTTTGAGACATTTGAGCCTGCGCCCTTCTGGCACGCACGTGCTCCTGCAATGTAGTAGAGACTAGAGCGAACCCGTGGACAACGTGCACGAAGGCTTTTCAAACAAACTCGCAAGGTCCAGGCGGGATGCCGCCGAAAGTCTTTCATGATGAGTTTGGGCGGCGTAATCACTTTGCGGCGCCGTCTCCGCACGCCTGTGTGCTGGGCACCGCACTCCCAGGAAGGCCTCTGGCGTATCTCACCTCACCTGGGCAGCGGCGAAGGGTGCCCTGGAGCTGCAAGGCAACGGCAAGGGGAATGAGCGCCCATGTCGCTGTTTCTTCCCTGGCGCCCTTTGGCGGGGCAGACGTCTCCCCATGGGCCCTCTCTCTCTCTCTATATATATATATATATATATACACACACCCTCCCCCAGGCGACTGGCGGCCAACCAGGAACCATATGCTCCCCCCCACCAACCCCGACAAAAAACGATAAAAACAAAAACGCGCTCTGCCTCCACATGCGGACCAGGCGCGGCCAACCGGATGCGGGCCCCCCTGTCGAGCAACAGTACAAAATACACTCTGGAGCAAAATCTGTGAAGGGGCCATGGGACACACAAATAAGTAGACACAGTGACAGGATTCCACATAGTTTCCCATATGTTCTGGGTTTTGTCTTCCCCCCACTTCCCACATGTTCCCATGTTTCCTGGGGAATCGACGACTAATTGTGTCCGTGTGTTGTTTTCCCTCCTGAATCTAGAATCATGTTCGTGAGGCCCGCGAACAATTTGTACTGCTTATAACAGGGACGGCGGGGGTGTCAGCATATGGCCTGCTGCGCGCAGGGCTGCCATCCTTAACAAAAACAATACATATGCACCTCGCGCCTAAGTCTGGAAAGTGCGCGGCCACCCCGCGATCACTGTCAAGTGGTTTTTGATAGGGACGGGGGGGGGGGGGGCGTATGGCCTGCTGTGCGCAGGCCCACCAGACACAATGATGGGCATTTGTTATCGACAAGGATGGTGGGGCTGACATGTTTCCCGATGTGTGCTGTCACGTGCGCAGGCGCACCTGATGCACTCTGCACGTGCCCCGAACGTGACGCACCTGGCGCGGCTGGAGTATGCGGCACACCTGGCGCACTCGGAGCACGTGGCGCATCTGGCGCACCAGACGTGCCTGGC